GTTTTTTTTTTTTTTTTTTCCGTTTCAAGTTCACAGCAAATCTGAAGAGAAACTAAGAAGACTCCTGTGCACTAGAACGCCGGCCAGCACGCAGTGCGCCGTCACGAAGGCCAGGCTTGGTGACCCTCAGAGTCCTGTTTTAAATTCTAACATCCTCTGGGAATCTGACATTCCCCAAATGGAAGCCCCTAAATGTAAAATATAACAAGACTTTCAGCACAGTGTCTTTTGCGGGTTTGTTGTTTGAATTCACAAAGAGACTTGCTGATGTGGCCTGGGAGCGGCAGAGGGCGCGGTCCTCCCCAGGAGGCGGAGTCCAATGGTACCGACCGGACCAGACCGGACCGAAGGGTTCCCTACAGGGCTTCGCGGGAACCCTAGGGGTTTGTCAGCGCCTCAAACCCACGTCCGAGCCCGGACACATTGGTGGCTGTTGGAATCCAGGTGCTAGTTTGCTAGGTGTTGGGTTGGATGGACCATCTGTCATAATTTCAATTGTTAAAAAAAATTTAACCTATTTGTATCTTTAATTTAAAACTACCATCTTCTGAGTGAGTAGTTTTCAACAGAGATCCTTAGGTTCTACTTCATATTTAGCAAATCTCTTTATTGATACTCTTGCATATTCCTGGTATGTTCTTTCTATATCCCTGGTATATTCATGCTATGTTATGTGTCAGGGCTCTTCTTATATGTCAGGGGTTTCTTTTTTCTCTGTAAAAGTTATGCTCATCCATTTTTACAAATTAAATGTCATATTCATTGTCTTTGTTATCAAACCATTATGTTTACAATTTTATTGTCTAAATCTTTTTGGATCTACTTTATCTGTTTTTTCACACTACAGAAACAAATTTCTTTGTCCATTGCCTGATTCTTTTAAGAAGCTATCATCAGATCAGCAGTTTAAATCTTTTGCCATCTGTAGATGCTTTGCTTGTTTGTTTTCCTCTGAGGCGTCACTGAACACTCTTATCATTAGTTCCAGGCTGGGGTGCTTGTCTTCAGCAGGGACTGCCCAGGATTTCTGTGATGCTAGATCCTTTGGGGCTGTGGTAAACAGTTTTGATCCCATCAGTGGCCTGAGTCACAATTTGCAGAGTGCTGGTGAAGGAGCTGTTGGCTTTGGGAGGCTGATTCAAGATCAGTGGGACAAGAATTAATTACATCCCACAAAGTGAACCCATGGGCGAGGTTATCATTTTGTCTTCAATGTGTCGACATTTAACATTCTTTTCAAATAGATAAAGAAGCCTCACTCTTTTCTAAGTTATTTATGAAAATTTAGTAGCCAAATTAAAAATTAAACTTTTGTTTTTCTTTTTTGTTTGTTTGTTTGTTTGTTTGCAGTACTGGGGATCGAACTCAGGACCTTGCTTTCGAGGTGGGTGTGGTACCACTGAGCTGAATCTCCAGCCCTGAAATTAAACTTTTATAAGTGATATTCTCCCTAGGTGATCCCTCTAAAATTCAGAACATTGTTTTCATGGCAGTGTAGTGCAGGAAAGGGAGAGACTTTCTCTTCCACCCATTGAGTTCATTGGGTGGAGCCCCCTAACTTGAACCATAGAGGCAGGTTAAGAAGAGAAGCAGTGTGCTTGTGCAGATGCAGGAGAGGGCTCAGAGCTGAGTGACTCAAAGGGAGTGGTAGGGCTTAGGGCTTCTGGAGCATCTTAGTAAAGAACAAGACATTTGTAGAGAAATGCTGAGACAAAGGAAAAGAACTTTGAGCTAGATGTGTTTGTAGAGACCTTTTCTCAGGTTATCCCTGGTGATAAGGTTGTTACCCACTTCCTGTGCAAGATACCTGCTTGAAGTGAGTTTATGCTCTGCTCTAAGAAGAGAGAGGAAGGACGGAGCCCTTCTGCGACTGCTTTTCTTCAATTGCCTTCAGCTCAAAGTAATCACATGCCAGAATAGCATATTTTGAGTCATTTTCTTATTTGAAACTTCAAGAAATTGTATCTCTTAAAAACTGAGTTGGTAGCTATGCAGAGATTTGGATTAAAAGTTGTGGGTTAGCTATTTTAAAGGGTGAAAGAAGCATAAGGTGGAACAAAGATAAATAAGTAGAAAAGAATGCATTGTCCTCCATCTCTTTGAACTAGTCTATTTCTGAGAGTAGGCCAGTCCAGATAAACAGTAGGATCTCATTTCAGGAAGCATTGAATATGAATGTGTCTTTCTTTTTCATTGGACATGACCAATAGTTATGTGACCAAAGCTTTGCCTGAAAGGCCATGTCTGAGGATAGAGCTCATTTAGTCATACATGACCAGATACTTTTAGGAACTAAGTTGATTTTACTGTTCCAGTGCTTAGAAAATCCTCTTAAGAAAACTGGCTAGGTGGGTACCTGGCTTATGGGATTCCTAGCCTTACAGGTACTAAGGAAGGTCATTTTTGGCAGGTCCAGGAATCTTAAGATAGTGGGAACCTTGAGAATAAAGGAATTCATGCAAATTAATAGATAGTGAGAGAAAAGTTTGGCAATAATTTCTTTCTTGGCATGGTTTCCTAGCCTCATGATTTTAACTGAGGTTCCTTGTAAAAACTTTTAGCACAGTAGATTTAAGAAAGTTCATGTAGAAAAATTAAGTCTTATGCACCTATGTAAATAATCAGACCAAATATAATGAGATCCCACTTATTTTGTGATTAAGGATATGTCTTGAGATTATTTACATAAAAAAGGTGCAGATTATAGAAAAGATAATGTTTCAGGGGAAAACTATGCATCCTTATGATGCACCCTCCTGACTTCCGATTTTAGCTCTCTTCATTGTCTTTGAGCTATTTTGACACCCTTTCTAATTGCTAATAACTGATAGGTATGTACATTCTGTTATGGCTTGTATTGATTTAATCCCCCCAAAACAATTTTGTGTGATTTTAATTCATCTCGACATGTATTTATTCCTTATAAATTTGTGATGTTTGACTCCTTTGAACTGGTTTTAATATCTGCATGATTATTTAACGTAAGAGCAAAGGCTACTGTGGCTTTCTTCATGATAGTCCACCCTGTGTGCTCCAGGGTGTACTTCTATCTTGTGTTTTCCTCTTTTACTCGGCCCAAGATCACTCTGCGGAGCCAGTTTCTCCCTCTCTTCAATTTTACTTTTTCAGATAAACTTTGCTCCTGTTTAAAAAAAAGAGCAAAATAATATCTTTAACATATACTCATTTTTACATATCTATGTGAACTGTTATTTTATCTTTTCCTGAAAAATATTTTTAACAGTAGAAAATGCATAATCAAACATAAGATAACTTAATTAAAATTATGAATATGCTAACATCATAGAGTCAGGATCGCATACTGATCATGCAAGTGAAGGTGAAGGCTCTGGCTGGGCGGCACCTCTTTCTTCCTCCTGCTGCCGAGACTGTAAACACAGCTGCGGGGTATGGAGCTTTGAATCATGAGCTGGAAATTCAAGATGGAGGCAGGAAAGAAGAGCCTGGCTGTGAACATGAGCCTGAGCCATGTCTGGATGTTATGTGACAGAACAAGAAAAAACAAGACAAAGCCAGAAACAGATAAACCCTCCTGTCCTACTGAAGCCCTGTAGTTTGAGGTTTTTCTGTCTTTCATTGTTGAAATTAACCCTAAACAGTAATTGCTTCCATTGTAAAATTCTAATGATTAAGTATGAAAGATTGCAAGAGTTCAGGAAGCTATGCTTGGTGTCATTTAAAAAGGCTCAATCAGCAAAGAGAACATATTTTGAAGTATTTTGTGGTTAGCAATCTAACATAATAATTGTTCAAGTTTAGAATGAAAATATTAATGGTTTCAACTTAAAATATTGAAGATAAAAAAGACATAATAAAATTTGAGTTTTACAGGACTAATAATACCTTGAAAAAATAAAAAAAACTCTTTCTTTCCCCAAAGTTCCAGCCAGATTTCTGACCTTACTACATCAAGTCAAATGTCCCATAGCTGCATAAAGTACTCTAGCAGATTTAGGATTGGAATACAGAAGTTGTGCTGTCACACTGGGGCTGACGGGAGGAAATACGAGCCCGAGAAAGTTCAGCTGAAGCAACTGAAGCAGTCCTGCCCTGCCGTGCAGTAATAAGGTACTTAGGAGAAATGAATGCCTGAACGCCTGCTCTCTATTTTAGAAGTCGACCCACTGGACCTGGTTCCATTAGGGTGGAATGTATTCCCGCGTTTTAAATGTTTTCCCTTTCTCATCTCAGAGGGACAAGAGCTGTGTTTGTTTTGATCTACTTCTATTGCAGTGAGCAAGTGAAAGAAGGTTGGATTTGGGAACCTATTGAGAACACAGGGAACCCCCAAAGAAAAGAAAAGAAAAAGAGTAAGAGTGTTTCATAACTAAGAACAAAAGAAAAGTACCAAGGAACTTTTCTCTCTGAATGAATAGACCCAAGCAAGAAACTGAGAACTGAGCATAGTGCACTAAATACATCACTAAATTTCTTTTTAATTTTTTTAATTATTTATTTTTATTTTTATTTTTTGGTACCTGGGATTGAACTTGGGTCATTGCACTTGCGAGGCAGGTGCTGGAACCACTGAGCTAAATTCCCAGTCCTCTAGCACTAAATTTCTGATAGAACAGACAATACCTATATTTTACTGAATGCTCAGGTTTTCAAAATATAAATAAATCTTTAACTTCATGAACTTAATAAGTTGGATTTCCTGCCTTTTAAAATTTACCCTGACTTCCCCTAGGAATGCAGAGGCAGGGTCTGAAGCTATTAGAGGTGCTGCAAACAACTGCACCAGGGTTCTACTCCAGGGTCTTCCCTAGAGGACACGTTTAGTGAAAGCCCCATTTCTAACTTTCCTCCTATGTGAAGCTGGAATACTGAGCTGACCCAGTTGGAATTCTGACTTTTAACTCAGTGATTTCTCACCTGAGATTTGCACCACTTAATGGCTTCTTTAAGTACTTTTGCAAGGCATTCGTACACTGCAGTTCCAATCAGGGAAAAACATAAAACAAGATCTGTCCTTAAGCTGCTTTGCTTTGCCTTATAATGGCCTCCATTTCCTTTTTTGCAGCATTATCTTGATAAATTGCTGTTTTTAAAGACCACTTTCTACCTGGAATGTATGCAATAGAACAGGCACTGAGGGTTCCCATTGAGCCTGAGGTTTGGGCCAAACTGTAACCCTACTGCACCCTGCATTTATATCCCACCATGTCCTTTATTTGCTCTTTGTGTCTGATTTGTGTACTGCCTATTTTAGACTGGATGGAATCCCCTAACAATAAAGTGTACTCCAGCTAAACATGGACTCAAAAAAACGAGAGCATTACACTCAGAAAGATCCATGGAGTACTTGACTCTGTTGATGGCAAACAAGCAAAGGGGAGAAAGGGAGGGAAGGAAGGGGAGAGGAGAGAGAGTGAGCAGGCAGCACCTTGTCGGGTCGCATTCTTTGAATTCACGTTAATTATTCCCAGTGAAAACTACCGTGGTAATTGATTCATAGAAGTGTGTTAGAATTAGAATCACTTACCTACATCCATCCTTCAAAATCTAGCAGTAGTTTAAAAAACAAAACCTTACATGGTAATTTGTTTGTACTTACTACACTGGGAAGCCACTACACAGAACAGATTACAAAACAAGCACATCAGTGTGGTGTGCAAGTTCCGTCCAGCGATGGTAACAGTTCCTATAAGAAGAGCAGCAGCGACTCTCAAGGGTGCCTTTGCTCAGGCAAAGGAGTGGCTTCCTGGGAAGCCAGGGCAGGGGAAGGGAGTCTTCCTGTCAGAGATCACCAAGCCACTGACTTCGGGACAACACCAGGGTTTGCAGTGATGCTGTGTACTGGCCAATAAATGCCTCTTTTTTTAAAGCTCTGAAAGGTTTCTGTCAAGTTTTTGCCACCCAGAAGTCAAGAAAGCACCTGCCCCTCAATTTTTACAGTATTAGATTTATGCCTATATCAGAAGACCTCAAAACTGCTTTGTAATTATCAAGAACAGAACTCAAATTCTTTCTTAAAAATAAAGTTAATGTCATGCTCAAAGTCATAGAGACATTTAAAAGTGGTGTTTAAAATAGAATTTAGACTACTGACTTGAAATCCCATGCTCTGACCACCAGACCACACGCCTGCCCAAGGATACTTAACATTTTTACTGAGTTATTCTTCTTTGTAATTAGATGCAGTGACTAGCGTGTCTTTTGCATTACTCTGCATTTTTCTTTTAAGTCAGGGTTGTAAGCCACATAGGGCACTGTCCCTTACAAAACTAAACAAGGGATTTTCAGTTTTGCAATACAATCTCCTGATATTTGTGTATAGGTTTCACACATCAAAAAACAATGAAATCTGTAATTTTTCAAATTACAATCTTCTCATTCTCTAAGTTATGTGCCTATGAGAATTTGCAACTCTTTTGAAGAGAATATAATTTTTATGCTTACAAAATGTAGGCTTTCATATTTGGGTACAATTACAAATCAAGGCCGTTTTTCCCTGTAATAATCAGTTTCTCAGAGTTGTGGGTTTTCCTCATTTGAAAATAAATTAATGGGAATTTAAAAATATAATTCATCCAGTTATTAAATCTCCTGAACCTTTAAAATTAGAAACTATTTATAGTATCAATCCCCAAAGAAGCAATGATAAAAAATACATGGATGGAAATACTTATACAGTTGGAAAAATAAAAATAAACAGCTAAAATCATTTGAACCTAAAGTACAAAAGAAACCTTTATATTTTACATAAAACCTTTTATTGTTTTACATTTTATCATTGCAAGTATATATTATGTAACTTAAATACTGAGTCTGTTGGGGCTGGGATTTAGCTCAGTGGTTCTACTGCCTGTTCCACAAGCGCAAGATCCCAAGTTCGATCCCTGGTACTAAAAAAAAAAAAAAATTAGTTTGTTTCTATCAATTCAAGAAAGTCCGTTTTGAAGCATGAAAAATCCAAAGTGCTACAGAGAGCTTCTAAAGGAATTTGAAATAGATAGCACTCAACATTTCAAGAAAAAGATACAGCTCTAAACATCAGTTTTTAAATTAGAGATTGATCTATCAGGGAGCTAAATTCACATAATTATTATTCATTTTGATAATACATGAGAATTACTAAATTATACAGTACTTTTATGTAGAGATGTATACATATTTTCTTAGCGTTGTCATCTAATTTAGAAATTTCACTCTCAAAGCCATGAGTTTCTTCAAAAGAATTTTTTTTTCCTATGAACAGTTCATCTTCAGATGACAACATCGCCACCCATGTCTCCTGCCCCACTGAAGTAATGCACAGGCCAGAGAGGGGTGGGGGTGGCAACAGACACACATAAAGCTTGCTTATTTCATGTAAGTGTGGGCTTTAAAAAGAACCAAATTACCACTGTTTTACCGGTTTATTTAGTTCACTAAGACAGGCTTTTTGTGAAGGTATAGTTTCCAGAGGGAAAATAGGTAGAAGCAGGAGCCATTCCCACACAGGGAGGAAGTCTCACATCACATCTGCAGCATGTGAGGGTGCAGGCTGGCAGTCTCCCTTGCTCAGCACTCCATTTTCATGCCTAGAATACAGGAAGGAGGGAATGAGTAGACAAATTAATAGTAATTCCCTTGGACACCCTTTAAACCAAGTTGCCCGGTGCGCATTCCTAGTTATGGGACACAGAAGTAACACCGCCAGTCAGTCAGTGGTGTAGGAAGTACACTCATAAGGGTATTTGAGAGATGGAGCCAGGGCTGTGAAGTGGCTTTCTGATGGCGACCACCAGATTGACCTGAACCTTGCCAGAATAGACATGAGTTATGGACAGACCAGTGATCTATCACTTTAGAAAACTTTTAAATGTGTAGATGAAATACATATGCAAAATAGTTGGGTTCTCTTGCAATTCATACTTTGGAGAGCAGAGTGAGAGGGAAGGAAAAGTAGAACACAGATAAAATAAAATTGGCTGCGTGCTAGTAATTGTTGAAGTTTGGCATATAGGATTTACTATACTACTCCCTTTGCTTTTGCGCTTGAAATTCTCTACAATAAAAAGGATAAGACACACATCCCCTGCCCTATAGACCCTGAAACGCAAACATTTATGTATACTGCAGCTATAATCTTAGAAAGCCTTGCTTGTAATACAGAAAATTTTAAAAAGACAAGAAATTTGTCTACATGACAAAAAATTTCCTTTAGCTCTTTTCTGACTCTGATGGGAATTTGGCACAGTGTCACTGATGCTAAGTCTTGAGAAATGCTAAGGAATTACCCATCCTCTCTTTCCACAACCTAAATGGTCCTCAGCAGGACTTTCTGCTCACTTTGACCAGGGCTGAGGAGTCTAGGAGAGTTACTGGATGAGGACCCAGATAACTGGAGTATGTAGCTCAGTACCCTACCCCATGCCAACTGTTGCCAGAAAGGCAGGTGCGGCCCTCTCGCTGGTAGGATTGTCAGTTCGTAGTGTTTTACTCACTTCTCATTGATGATGACTCCGTTTAGGGTTAAACAACTCTCATGAGTTTTCATTTATCTGAAAGTCCAATTCCAAGGAACGCGCATATTTCTCTGCCTCTTCAGAGGACTTTCCCAGGTCTTTACCAGCTCAGTGATTTGTGACTTCAGACCTAAACCTTAGTCTATGTATACTAAGTACTTAATGTGAGATGGGTTAGAATCGTCAGTTTATGTTAAGGCCCCATCATGAGGGAAGAGACGCATTCAAATAAGAGTGAGTGGAGCAGGGTACTGGAAGTTATTTCTCCAGTCCAATCCCCACACCTTCCCACTCGGGGCAACCTTAAGTTGATCTGTGAGTATCTGGAATGAAAGCTTTTAGGCTGGGGGTGGTGGTGCATCCTTATAACCCTAGCTACTCAGCAGGGTTAAAAGTGCAAGGCCAGCCTGTGCAATTTAGTGAGACGTTGTCTCAAAATTAAGGGCTGGGGAAGTAGCTCAGTTGTAGAGCACTTGAGAGGCTCTGGGTTCAATCCCCAGTAATGAAAGAACAGCAAAAGACAACTTTATATTTCTGGATGCCAGGAATTGTCTCTCTACAAGGACATTTTTCATTTCTCATAGCACTAATAATTAATCTTGTTGTATTATAACCCCAGAACCTTCCTTTGCAATTATTATCATAACTACCATCATACAGCTTGATGTGAAAATAAATGATTTCAAATTTTAACAGTGTTAATCTGACAAACACAAAGCCAACATTTTTATTGAGTTAAAATGTAAAATGACATCAATACTAAACCAAAAAGTTGTACTGTAACAGACAAGGTCAAAATTGAGTGGGTTGTTCATTTAAAATTATGCTTTAACTCTAGTTTTCATGCAGTATATTTTGTAGTTTCCAGCTAACACCACCCATTCTATCTACTTGCAGAAAGAGGAGTTTCTGATTTAAATGTTATAGGAAGAGGAAATCTAATTTTGACCTTGAGTCAAATTGATGCCAAGGGGAATTTATGGTTTTCTTCACTTTATAAGCTGTAATTGCAAATACAGCTTCCTTCATCTTAAAAAACAATTCCACCCTGAAATTTTCAACAAAAATAGTTTGCAGAAACATTGCAAAAGACTTCTTCAAAGGGAACTAACTAGTTTGAATTAAAAGGGAAGAGGAGAGAGATGGTGGACGTATTAAAAGAGGTTATATTTTTCAGTATTTTGGGCACAATATGTTTAATTTCTACTTTTTAAACATTTCTCAATTAAAATTTGAGAGTATATTAGTAATTTAAATGTGCTTACTTTGTATATTAGACAAAACAACATGAATGTATACAACTTTAAGAGAAAAACAATGATACGGAAATCTTTTCATTACATATTAAATAGAAACAAAGTTGTCATCAGTTAATGACATAAACTACTAAAATGTATGACTCCATATATGGAGTTAATAAAGATATAGTAGTGGTACAAAGTCCAGTTCCTAAAAGTATTTGGGCTGAATATTTTTACTGGAATATCTGATAGTATAACTTCATACTTAATTCATACTTAATTCCAATGTTAATTATTTTGGTTGCCCCCAATACTTTATTATGTTCATAGTTTAAATTTAAAATCATGACTAATGTTGATATTAACTGAATAATCACCTATGCTATGACTGTTGGCTGCTATTCAACATAAGACACCTCTGGATTCCTATTTTACAATGTTCGCATCATGTTTCGGTGGGTGAGACATTGGGCAGTTCAAGAGGTTCCCATGCCTCCTTGCTACAGCAGTCCCAGTCTTTATACTGATCTCATTATTTGTAGATTGTGTGTGTGTGTGTGTGTGTGTGAATTTTAATTTCTCACTCAACCCCCTTTACTTCCATTAATGATTGCATACAACCTTCACTTCAGAACCACGTTTGACCAAGATAGCATAAGGGAATCCCTAACTTAGCCTCAATATTTCCATTTTACCTTTGAATTATGTGTATCAGGTACTGAAATGGCAGCTGCAGTCATAAAACCAGGAGATGCTGAGTCACTGACAGAACTCAATTATTGGACTGAGGTAGTTCATGTCTGTGATAAATGGCCATCCTGATGTTACAGAAGGTGTTCAGAGTTTCTTCTTTGTTTCTAGGAGAAAACAAATACAATAAAGCAAAGGAACTAGAGCGATGTGCAGAGAAACATCACATCTTCCAAGGAATGGCTTCCATGACAGAAGGGCTGAACCATAGGTTTAGAAGAGTAAAGATATTTCCCAATGTTGTGGCCTCCAAAAATACCCTGCCAAAGGAAACTGACAAATGAAACCCAAATAAAAAGAGTTAGAAAACAGAGGTCAAAATGGCCTGCAGAATCGAACCAGCAACCACCACGTGAACATCCAGCAAAGCAATGCTTTGCCGAGCGCCCAGCGCCGTTGGGACTGCGCATCCCTGCCGGAATCGCGTTCTGTGAGCCTCCTCAGGGCGAGACTGTTGAGAAATGAGTGATTACGGTCTGTACCAGATGAAAGCTTCAGAGAGTTAGAACTTTGAGTTCGGAACCGCAGAATTAGAAGTTCTGAAATTTGAAGGAAATATTTACAAATAAAAGGAAATCTTTTTGTGGTGGCATATGTGGAAAATAAATGGAATTAAGAAATACTTAAAAACAGATAGAATTTCCATCTTGAGTCACTAAGGAGAGTTGGAGAGGGCCTCGTTAGAGCTCTAAACTGATGGCTCTGCTCAAATCACGCATCAGTGCCACTTTTGGCACAAGGAGATGGAAGGTGAGCTGCTCCTACCCAAGGAGACAGTTTATAGAACCTTTGTTACGCTGGGAAAGCACATCGGAGGACATCATCTGGTGCCTTCGTTTTACAGAGGGGAAACAGCAGAGAGGGCAGTGTAGCCCAAGGGTATGAGCTCAGATTTGGTGACAGACTGGATAGAAATGCGGCTTCTCCACCTCAGGTCTGAAGTTCGATCTACCGGAGCATTTGGCCAATCAGGGACACAAAGCGGGACAGCGCCCTGTTCAAGCCCAGTCGCCTCCTCACAGAGTCTCTGGGGTTAGACAGAGCTACATGCTGCTACAGCGGGTGCTGTGGGCTAGGTCTTGCTGACCTGATCCTCCTTTGGGGCTCTGTTTCCAACCGATGGGCAGGCAAAGCAGCCCACTGTCCTGTGATGTAGGATAGTCACCTTTGGGCTCAAAACATTGAGCAAAAGCTGTGGGAGAAGTTCCCGAATCCCTCCACTTCCCAGAGTAGTGGAAACAGAGCACAGATCCCGATGCCCCCGCAGACCCAGGGGCTCTCTGTGCATCTGCTGGAAGAGATGGGCAGAGGAGACAGCTGCGGAACGCAGTCTTTGGGTCCAAACAGCTCTGCGGAGTTCATCCCACAGACAAGACCATCTTGCCTATCAGGATGGCAAAGGCAAACAGTTTAATCAATTGAACATTTCCCTATAAAGCTAGATTGTAACTGCATACAGCAGAAGTGATGCTTTTCTCCACCGGTAACCTGCACAGGCTTCTACTGTCCTCCGCTCTTGTTGCTGCTGGTGTTTTGTGATGCATATTTTCTTTCAAATTAGAAAAAAAAATTCACATTTAAGGAAGGAAGAGGTCTTGAATCCATCCTGGCTGACATCATCTCCTTTCCATTGTACTCCCTGCTAGATTTAGTGTAGGAGCATATCAAATACATACATATTAGCCCAAATTCCCAGTGGCTAAGTATTAGGTCAACATTTTTCTCAAAGGTTGCTGCTAAATATCATCACAAGGCAAACTTCCTGGAAAAATGTAACTGCAATTGCATTTTTATAAAACAAATTGGTAATCAAGTTTTAAAAGCTCGACATCGTAGGAATGATTACTCAGGCTATTGCCCATCCATATCCCTCTTTCTCAAGAGTTTGAAGACTCATTGTCTTCTTTATAGCGGGATAAGCTTTCTCAGTCTTTCCCACTTTGCGACCTTTGCTCTTCCAGTACTCACGATACGTAAGGGAAGTCCTAATTCCAAGCGACATCTGTCGTTCAGAATGAATGGCCGCTGCCGGGACGCCCTTGCCCTCTTCCTGTGCCTGCGTAGCTTTCACGGTGTGGAGAGGACGCAGTGACCGGGCCGGATAGCAAGTTGTGGCTGACACCAAAGTTGAAGTCAAATCTCACTACGTCACTAATTCAGAGTTTGGTAGAACATTTCAATAAGCAAACTATATTTTTAAAAAATGTTTTTTGAATTCTCTTTTGGTCCATTTTTGGAGAAATAACTAGACATTTTACATTGAAATCAATGAATTCCTCTAAGAGCCACAAGATGGTGCTATGAAGTGGCATTTAGAGAAGATTAAAAAACCATTTGGCTTCTAGAAGCCAATTTTAGGCAGGTCAATCCCACCGACATCACTTAACATTAGCTACAGAAGAGCACTGTCTTTACCCGGCTTCAGTGAACCAGATTTGTTGGTATAAGGACAACTTTACTCCTGCTGCTGCTTTTAAACACTCTATTCTAGAAATTATACTTGTTATCTTTGGTTTTGACCTCAGGTTTTAAGACTACTTTAAGAGAAAACTAAGAATGAATTTGGACTTCAGCAAAGTTAAGTCAGGAAAAAGTACTGGACTGAACAGAGCCCAAATTTCTAACTCCTGCTCTCCTCCCCTGTCTTTCCTGGGGCTCTCGGCAAGGACCTTGTCAGCCTTCGGTGTGTGGTGAGGCCCCGAATCAGTTCTGCTTGGCGTAGTCGGGTGGCGGTGAGGACACTGCTGCGTCTTGGTGAGGTCGGCTGCTCCCGTCCTACCTGCAGAGGACAGAAATGCCAAGGCGGAGAAACCCGACCCTCCATTCGTTCCCTCGTTGGTTGGTTGGTTCATTCACCGATCCACACGTTCCTTCATTCATACTTGTAGTTCTCCATCTGTTAGTGCATTTGTTCATTTGTCCAACACCTTTTCACAAAGTGTTGACCACGATTCAAGATCAGACCAAGCTCTAGAGATAAAAAGAAAAGAATGACCTCATTCCTATTCAGTCTAACAGAGGAGAGAGATGCTTATGAAATAAGGTAACGATAATATACGACACCAGCGTTTTGCTCCCAAGTGTGAGACATTCTGGGAACAAGGACGTTTAATGATGAATCCTGGGTGGGATGACAGGACTCAGGCAGGCTGCTGACTGTGGAGGGTGAGGGAAGCAGCAGATGACGCTGGACACAGCACACAGCGGAGCCCATGTCTAGGATGTGCTTGTTATGTGTCACACAGGCCGGGCAGCGAGAATGCGAGGAGGGCTGCGGAGGGAACAGAGAGCGTGCGAAGGAGCGGGCCAGTCGGAAGGCCGGAAATGGAAGCACGGAAAGGCACGGGGGCGCGTGGCAGTCGCTCCCTCTCTGTAGTCTGGGTGTCACGGCCTTGGGGTTGGTTGGATGAGATCCAGGTCAGATCTTCTTTCAGTTCTAAAACTCCATTTTGTTATTATAAAGTCAGTGCATTAGATTATATTAAATACTGCACAGTAGATTTATAACTATCAGTAATAGTCACAGCTATGAAGAAAATCACTTTGATAATAAAAAATTATGCTGTCACATATTTATTTTCACTTTAATGATTAAAATATTTTTATTAATCTATGTGGGTTTAAGGCTGGATAGGCTTCAGAAGATCAAGTTATTATGCAAGATCAAGTCTTTCAGATGGTTTATTACTATGTCAAAACTGTGACGGTTACCCCAGTATTTTAAATTCTTAACATTCTTAAAAGTATTTTAAATTGTTAAAATACTTATCCCTCAACTTTTTCTACTACTTGTGCTTTTACCAATAAGCTCTAGAAAGCTAATTAGGTTAGGTCTCAGTAGTTTAACATATGTTTTGTAAAATCAATAATTACTTCAAAAGTAATAGTGTTTTAGAGAGATAAAAGTTTAGAGAGTCTTTTGTGTCTTCTATTAATCAATAAAGAAATTCAAACATTAACAATTGCATGAATTGTGAGTGAAATTCCAATTCATAGAAGTTAAATATTTGATACTATTTTTCTGATTTAATGTATTTTCATTCTATATTTTTCTTTATATCGTACTGAGCTACATTCCTAGCCATTTCTTATTTTGAGGCAGGATTTCACTAAGTTGCCCGTGCTGTGCTCCGACATGCAATCCTCCTGCCTCAGCCTCCCAGAGTGCTGGGATTACAGGTGTACACACCATCATACCTGCCATCTTCATTTGGTTTTATGTTTGTAATTTAAGTTTGGCTTTAGGATATGGGTGGCTGAAATCTCTACTGCAGACAGTTCTGCAGTCATTCAGAATTTATGATCATAGGTCAAATGGCACGACATGAGATGAAAGCAAAAAAAAAAAAAGTGAGGGCGTGGAAAACAAAACTGAGCTACACTATCTGAAGCAGACACACACCCCGCAGGCATCTCCCATGAGGAACGTGTGCTATTCTTTTCCCCAAAATAGAGGAATGGAAACCCGGATATTGAAAGTGGCCAAAGCCAGGAAGGGGTCAGCATGGTGAGGTCTGATCCCTTCTTCCCTCCCCTGTCTCCATCTTGCTGGTTTTTGTATTGCAGGAGTGAAATCTTCGATGGGTTCTTTCAGAGCTGAACTCCATTTTCCTCCATGTGAACTACCAAGCCTGCCCAACGATTCACACAGTAACATGACCGACTGTCCGTGCTGCACCGCCAGGCCCCTGGAGCTGCGAGTCCCCAGGACTAGGGCACGGTTCTTGGGGTTCCCAGGGCACCTCAGGGCCGAGATGGCCTGGAAGGAGCCTAGGGGCCGAGTGCTGGTGTACAGTACTCTCCAGAGCTCTGTTGGCTCCTGCTCTTTCAGGGTGAGACTGCTCTGGGCGGAGGGCTGAGGGATGGCAGGGTCTCCGCCCCTTCTGCCAGGAGGGCCGAGGAGTTTTGCTGTCACAGTTCCTGAGCCCAGACCTCTAGCTAAGACAGCTGAAGAATGACTCAGAGGCCATGGCAGGATGGAGTAGACATTCAAAACCCAGAACCAAGATGAGCACTCACGAACTTACCCTTGCAGTCCTTTGCAAGAAATAGACATTTTCTGTTTACACGGGACAAAAAGGTACCTTTTATGTGACTGTGTTTTTTTTCCTCATTGAGTTTATTGGTACATTCCAGGCCTACAGTACAGTTACATTCATCATTGGGATCTTGTACCTTTACATGACAGGTCTTGGTTCTCATTTTTCCCCTGTCCCTGCCCTCCCTTCACCCCCTCCTCCCCTCCCCATTTACAAACATTTTATTTCCATTATTTAAAAAGAATCATATCCTTTCTGGCACAGAGCTAGACACGCAGTAGAAGCCAAGGCTCAGAAGGCCTTCAGTGGACCTTCAGTGTGGCCTGGCAGAGTGGGCTTGGAAGTCTGCCTGGCTGGAGGCCAGGGTTCCCCCAGGAGACGTCCCTGAGGCTGGGTTCCTCAATCACAGGTGAGTCAGGAGGAGGAAAGTGCACCTAGCCCAGGGCTCTTCCCAGGCCCCCCGCTCCTGTGCATTCAGGACAAGTGTTCACATTCCTGCGCACACCTGGGGACACAGCGACACAGGGACCCATATGATGGCAGGACCCATCACTGAGGTCACAATGCATGGCCTCTTTCTTAACAAAAGCTGATGGTCACTGCCCACTGGCTGAAATTTTTAAGTAAATATTTATCGATCAAACCTCATGATGAAAAAAGAAATTCATGTTACCGAGGGAACAGTGTCTCTAAACACTCCCCAGCAGCTTTTCTGAATAAGATGATAAGTTTTATGAGTTATATAGCTTTAGAAATAATCTTTTTTTTTTTTTGTACTAGGGATCAAACTTGGGTCCTTGTGCTTGAGAAGCACTTGGTGGAACCGCTGAGCTAAATCCCTCTCCTGGAGAAATAATCTTAATGCAGCTCCGTAAGTTAGACCAAATTTCAGAAAAAAAAAGTCAGCATTTATTTTAGGAACAGACTTGCTTCTCCTGTGTCATGTAACTAATAGTAATGAAAACAGCTTTATCGAAGGTTCCAGGGAGCGGCCCCCGCTGCGGGCGTGGGCTCCACAGCAGCAGGCATCGGCGAGACAGCGAGTCCAGGAGGCAGCTCAGCGTCAGCTCCTTCCCTGCCCCAGATGACACGACCCTCTGCTCCACCAAGGAGCACGGGGCAGGAGCTGCAGCTGTGCCCACGTCCTGTAGTGCTGGCCTTTCTGATGGAGGTCACAGGTTCCAGGCCTTGCCGGATGGAGGGAAAGAGGTTTCTGGAATGTTGAAGTGCAGAACGTAGTTAATTCTGGCAATTTTGTGGGGCTTCTTCTGCTTCTTCATTAGGACAAAAATAGCTAGCGATGATTTTACGTGAAGTTACAGAGGGATAGGCAGTAGAAGTAAGTTAATAGCATAGCTCCCACTACTCCAGAATAAAAATCCAATTATGTTGCTGAATTTTGAAACATCTTAGAGATTGTTTCAATTATATATTGTTTGCTATTTTCATATAATAGCATTTATTGGAGCTCAGGAAAACCCGAGTGGACAATTGACCTTCCAAAGGTTGAAGTCTTAATTCCTGATATGACTTTTCTTTTGAGATTTCACTTTCACCTTTGTTTCTCTTCCTAAATCAAATTTCTTTCTGTCTTCTTCCCTCCTTCTTGAACATGAAAAACATTTTATTTCTTTAGCTGTTATTCTAGGACAAATTAAGTTTTTAATTACTTGCAAGTTTTAAATTTTGTATCAGGTGACATTATGAAATACATGTTAAATTAGTCATTAGCTGAAATAGCAAATGACTTTCACTACTGTCCTTTTCCACTACTTATTGGGGGGGGGTACTAGGGATTGAACCCAGAGCCTCACACTTGGTAGGCAAGCACTCTACCACTGGGCTACACCCCAGCCACTTTCATTTTTATTTCCAGAAAGTCTTGCTAAGTCGTCCAGTCTGGCTGACTTGGAAGTTGTGATCCTTCTGCCTCAGGAGCTGGGCTTGCAAATGTGCCCCACCATGGCAGCCATGGCCCCCACTCTGACGTGCACTGGTAACTTCGTTACCAGAAATCAAGAGACTTCTCCTGGGCTGTGCTAATAGCTGTCTCCTTGTCTTTTCCAAAAGCACACGCTTGGTCTGTGGGCAGGGCCAGACCTCGGGATATGACCCGCAGGGACATGGCCCCGCTTTTGAGCCAAGTGTTTGGTGAGTGAGGTGGAGAAGGACAGGTCCAGATGTCGCCTGGCAGGGAGCCCCAGTCACCCTGGGAGAGCAGAGGAAGACGAGCAGCTTTTCTCTCTGATGCTAAGCCCTGTGCCGGAGGTCGTGGGTGGCTGTCACAGTGCTTTCTCAGGAGGATGGAATAACGCTACCCCAGGGGTTGCCACCTGCCTCAGTTTACCATGTAGTGCAGGAAAGGTGGAGTGCAGGGGCTTCTGTTCTTTGCCCTCCTTGGAAGAGCCTTCAGATACTGCAGGACTTTTCGCAAAGTGGCAGCTACAGCTCTGGGGACACAGGCTCCAGAAGGAAGGCGAGGTGGTGAGGGCTGTGCGGGACCTGGACGCTCTGGGAATGGCCTGGGTGGGCGCTCACGCAGGTGTCTCTGAGCATGTGCAGCGTGGCACGGGACCCCACTGCACCTGCGATTTGCACTGTGAGGCCAACCCGGGAGGGACCGACTCAGCTACGACAGGCACCCCTGGGTGAAATGTGGCGACAGTTTGACAGGCATAGCAGGAGCGCGGCCAAGAGGATTTACCCAATTAGAGATAGGATGAGTTCTGGCTGGCAGGATGTAATTACCGTGTGGAGCGGAGCCAGCATCCTGAGGTTAGCACCCGTGCTCCTGCCAGCAAGCTCCTACCTGCCAAGGCTGCGGGGCTGTTGTGACAGCTCCACACTGCTGGTGCCGTGGCCTGGACCTGGTCTCCTCGGCGCTCCTCATGGTCCTCTGTATGCCACATTAGGCTCAAGACCAGTTGTCCACAGAAATGTCAATTTCCTCAACTCTGTGTTTAATATTCTAATTAGAAAATAAAAAATCGATTTACAAATTAATCTATCCCGTCAGAGTGGTTATTGAGCGATTATTTCACTGTGGGCGCGAAGCTGGATCACAGCAGTGACATCAACCCTGCCACTTAGGAGAAAAACAGACCAGGAGGAGCCAGGACGGCCTTCGTGGGAGACAAGTCAGCCCCACGGCGGCAGAGCACGCTGTCTGGGCGGAACAGGCCCGCGTGAGGAGTGGGGCGCG